GTTGGGCTGTGAATGTAGTCATAAATTAAGCACATACATATTATAAACTAGAGAAAGCAAGCAGGAGAAAGATAAATAATAAGCATGCAAAAGTGGTTGCTTTGCGCTATGAATGCAGTCATAAATTAAGGATCAGAAATTTGGTTCTGGAGGTACTAACCATAACCGGCAGATTGAGTTGAGTTGCAGAGAAATATCGATCATGTAGCAGAATGAAGAGTTAACAGCTAGCGTAGCGTTGCAGAATGAAGAGTCGGTTGTATCTCGCATCTGCTGATTAATGTGTGCATAAAAGATTGATTGCAACAGTGGTGGGAGTGGAACCTGCTAGTCTGTAAGATTTGACAAGTTAATATAAGATGCAGCAGAAATATGGATGGCGAACAAACCTCGCTTCCGAAATAGAAAAACAAAATAGGGAGGCGACAAGTGTTACCTTTGGTGTACTTATCCATGACGGATAAATCTGGGTTGGTTCTTTTGATTTTCTCAATTTGCTTGTTTACCTCAGCGCTGGAACCAATCATATGTAGTTCTCTCAGCGAAACCGGGAGGCCCTCCTTGGGCATGGATCGGATTTCTACACACCAAAGGACACGTAACTCCTTGAGAGAAGAAAGGCGATGCAACCCTTGAGGAAGGGACTGCAGAACACTGCATCTGAAAAATGTTAGATTCTGGAGGGAGGTGAGGAGCTGCAGCGCTTTCTCTTGCTCCTCCGTGAAGCTTTCCATGATCCTATTATCCTCGAATACAAGTGTGTGGAGGGCCGGGGCGAGGAGGTTGCAAATAGGAGCAACAAGCAATCCACAGATGTTATCCACATTGAGTTTCTCCAATCTAGAGATGTAACCCGCAGGCAATAATAATTTGGCCCTCTGAGAGGCCACCTCTGAGAGCATATCTGCTGCAAAGGTGTTGCACCTACTCACTTCCAGTTGTATGAGGTTGGCTGCGATGAGAGGATTGAATCCGTCCACTGTTAAATTACTGCACTCTTTTAGCCTTAGAGTGGTGAGAGATGTGAGGTTTGAGAGCAGAGCCATTGACTTCATGCTTGGCTCTTTGTCAACATCAAGTACCCTCAGGGAAGCAGGGAAAGGGTAAATGGTCTCTGATTCTCCCATGCCCATGGGCCACCGACAGAACAGTTTGCCACAGTCCTCTATTGTTAATGATTGGAGCAATGAGTTGCCCTCCTGAATTCCTCCTCCATTCTCTATTGGCACAAGAACCAGGCCCTTACACTTTTTTAAGGTAAGTTCCTGCAGTGAGCTGGATGATGGGAACTGCATTACACATTTCTCATAGCCAACTATCACCAACACAGAGAGAGCTGGGAAACAGTTTAACACTTTTGAAGATGATGATTTGCTGGCAAGATGAGATACATCTAATTTGAGACTCTTAACTGAATGGAAGACAATACTGCCATCCAGTTCTTGACGGAACAAACCGTCGCATCTTTCGATAGTCAGGTTTGTTAGGGATTTAAGCTTTGCGATGTCTGTCAATGATATGCACGATGCATTTGCAATATCAATATCTTCTACTTTATCCAGATTGTGGGAGGCCAAAGCACCGCCATACTCTCTAACAACCAATTTCTTTCCATCATAACACAACCATTCTGAATCACATCTATTAACCTCCAAATCTGTCAGTGTGGAGGTGTGAGGCATGGAGGGCAGAGACATCTTGGGGCAGTCACAAACTTCAAGTCTGCGCAAATTGGTGCAAGATACCTCCGACAAGGGCATCACATGGAGATTGGGACAATCGATGCAATTGATTTCTTCAAGACTTGGAAAGGAATGGCAATTAGGTAGCACAACCCATTCAGCAAGTTCTGGCATCTCATAAAACTCAACTGTCTTCAAGCGCATAAAACATTTCCCTGGAGCACCACCACATCGAGACCCAAACTGATGCATTCCAGAAATTCTCTTCAGTTTGAGTCCCTTGAGATTTGGTAGCTTCCCAAAAGGTGGAAGGGTGCTCCAAGATATGCCTTCTAGAATGAGAGTCTCTAAACTTGTTAACCATATCTCAAGACACAACCAACGAGGACCAACGGTACCACCATGATTTACAATTGTAAGTACTCTAAGATTAGAGTGTGGTTGAAGAGCATCAAGAATACCAGCATCTGTAGTTGGTTGATCTCTGTCCCAGAGTAATTCCAACTGGTTCAGATTCCTTTTCAACATCAGTTTGGCTGCAGTAGCTTCCTCCTTGGTTGCCACGTGTTCAAGACCACGTACAGTCAGTCCTCCTTCAAGCTCTGTCAATGGCCCAAGTTCTGACAGTTCAAATCCCTTGCTCTCCTTCTTGACATGGAATTCTTTTAGCTCCTGCAGATGCTTCATCTTTCCAACATTGTGAATATTGGAGTGGAGTTCACTTTTAGCACGGAAATCATGTAAATTCTCAAGGTGGCTAAAGTCTTCAGGCAAATCAGAACTATCACGCCAACGATCAAGGTCCAAGAATTTCAAGTGATAAAATCTTGATAGTGTACTAGGTAAACTCATTTCCCAGTCACCATCGAGAGATAAACTAATTTTGAGGTACTGGAGGTGGATAAGTTTTGAAAACCTATATGGAAAAGATTGTGCCGACTTCACCACTATAAATAGGACACGCAGACTGTTTATTTCCTTGAAGCTATCTTTCAAAATCTTGGCGATTCTTTCTTCATATCCTCTGAAAATCATCAAAGTCCGCAGATTAGCAATGTGTATCCTCTCCCTTAGTTTACACATTTCTTGCTCAAAATTTGCATCATATCTGTCTTCTATGTTGATAGATAAGTGTCGAACAGATTGCGGGATGGCATCAACTCTGAAATCAAAGCCACTTATATTGAGGCATTCTTGTGCAGAAACACTCTTAGATAGCTCATGCATTAAATCATGCATTACATAGCAATCAAATTCCTTCTTTTGTTTGTATTGATCATCCAAATAATACTTTTTCTTCTTCATGAGAAAACCATTGTCGACTAGTTCTTCCAAGTAATTCCTATCAGCTTGGTGATTAGAGTCTATGATGCCTACTGCAACCCAAAAATGATTGATTTCTGAAGAAGTAAACCAATGATCTTCAGGGAAAAGGCCACAATAGGAAAAACATTTCTTCAGATCAAAAGGGAGGCAATCATAGCTAATTTTTAAAGATGGCATGATATCATTATTATTTTGCTGCTTTAGCCACTGATGCTTTTCAAGAACTCCATTCCAATGTTTCTGAGAAAGGTCCTTGTGCAATAGTCTACCAACTGTTTTGGCTGCCAACGGGGAACCCTTTAGCTTGTCTGCAATTTTTTGTGCAATACCAGCTAACTCATCTTCGAAATGCTCTGGCTTGTTGTCTTCACCAAATATACATGCTTCAAAGAATGTGAAGAAGTCATTAGACTCCAAACCTAGCAGCTCTAGTGGATCAATTGTTTCCATCATTTTTGCTAGCTTTGGGAATCGAGTTGTGACAAGTAGCATGCTTCCTTTGGTTTCCCCCTTTGTGAAGGGAGCTAACAGGGTTCTCCACTGATCCACACCGTCACATTTCCATATGTCGTCCAAGACAATTAGAAACCTCTTGGACTTGAGACGGCGCACAATGGATCTCTGAAGATGATCTAAATTGGTTGTTTCATTTGCAACACTGCTGCTTCCTCCTTCTTCAGTTGCAGGTATGCAGGCAAGGATCTCCCTGGTGAGCTTCAGCACATCGAAATCAGTGGATACACACACCCAGACCCTGACTTGGAAGTGCTCTTCAGTCCTTCCATCATTATACAGATGTTGGGCAAAAGTTGTTTTTCCAATACCCCCTGGACCAACTATAGGAAGAACAGAAACAGTCTCAATCTGTGTAGTGATACGGTTGACAGTTTCCTCAAAAGTGTGTCTCCTGCCATACAATGTATCTTGTATAATTGTGGATCCAATCTGCGGCCGGTGTACAGCAACTGGCATGCTGTTGCTTGGGATATTGCCAAGCAAATCAGAGACGGAATCACAGTGCGTCTGCATGTCCTGTAACACCGATTTGAATTTTCTGGAGAAGATCACTCGGTGGAAACGTAACTCATCATCCCCACTGGTAGAATCACTATCATCTTGTGCAGAGGAACAAGAAAAGCATGCGGCCCAGCTGCTGGTGGCAGTGTGGCGGAGAGCATTGCGAGCATGACGGAGAAAATTGGCCTGGGTGGCGGCGTAGTTGGTGGCGTGGAGCCTGTCATGGATCTGGAAGTAGTGGAGCTCATCCAGCAGGTCCTCCGCCTGGTCGGCGTTCCTGCTCAGCGCCGGCAGCAGCTCCTGCAGTCCAGGGTTGTCGACGACGTGGCTCACCTGGGCCTGGGCGTTGTGCAGCAGGCCTCGCGTGTGCGCGAGCTTGGCCTTGATCTGCTCCGAGTTGTGGCCGAGCTCGAGGCTGTCCACGTACGCCGCCACCGGGGCGGCGGACAGCATCGTGAAAACCTTGCCGAGGAGCGTGGCCGCCGCGCCGAGAGCCGCCGCCATCTGCACTCCGCCGGCCGCCTCGCCTCAGCTCAGAGCTCGGTCAACGCCCCCGGGGTCGGGGAGCGGTGTCGTGTGGGGAGCAAGGACAGGGTACTCTTCCCCAACTGCCCACGCCACCGCACAGCCGTAGGTCTGCACTCCGCCGGCCGCCGTACGTCGAGTCGCCGGGGCAATAATTGGTGTTTTGACGCCGGTGGAAGCTGTAGCTCTAGCGGTGTGGGGATTGCTTGCTTCGTATGGTTTGAGTTGTTTGACCAACCTATGGATACAAATTATTGGGACCCAAGCCGGTAATGCAAAACTTTTACGAATACACCCCTGCTGAAAGGTTTCTTTACAGAATGTCGGCTTTATTAATTAATCAAACAATGAGACTCCCCGTTTCATAATATAAGAACATTTTTTACACTAGAGAACACACACCTATCGAGATACAATCCGAAACATAACGGAAAATACATATCCTCCGTCTCAAAATAAGTGTCTCAACTATGTATTAGCTTTAGTACAAAACTGTATTAAAGTTGAAACACTTATTTTGAGACGGAGTGAGTACATGATTTAGATTTCAAAATCTCAAGATTTTTCTGCCATTTAGAATATTTCTTTTGTATCTCCTTTAGGCGGTGAGCAGGGGCGGACCCAGGATTGGGCCAAGCCCAGGCCCAGGCGCTACAGTGCAGCTACAGTGCTCAATAAGCCGCGGTCAACAAAGTAAATCATCCTCATGCCCCAGGCCTAGGCCCCACCGGCATGGGTCCTGGATCCGCCACTGGCGGTGAGCATGTGTAAGAACATATCTCAACATTTTCAAGGGTTGTATTTGTATGGAAATTTTGAAATCATCCAAATCCTTGGTTTTTTAGGGAGAGTGGAAGGTTTTGTAGATAAACAAACATCCGATAAAACACATGGAAGATGCAACACAAGTAGATTTCGAAGATTTTGTACCACTGAAGAATTAATCCTTCCGCTAATTGGTGGACGGGAAGCTGAGATCCACCATTGCGGCTGCATCCGCCGCCCCTAGTCGTCCTACTACATTTGTCTTGGTTTATTGGCCTCTTTTGTATTTATGTCAAATTTTGACCATAGATTTGACTAGCAGAAATGTTAATGCATTTCACAAAAAAATTATGTTGTTAGATTCGTATTTGAATGCACTTTCCAATGATATTATTTTTGTTATATATAACTTACGTTTTGTTAGTTAAATTCATGGTTAAAATATGACACGAAATATAAAGAGGACTAGTAAACCAGGACGGAGGTAGACCTCTCTGGCCGCCGCCGCCGAGTCGCCCAAATTCGAGGCTCCCGCTGCCCTGAGTCGATGATCTCAGACCAGAAGCCACCTTGCTCCACCCGGCCATGGGATAGATCCGAGGCCGCCGCCACCCAGCGAGTCCTTTTTTCTTTTATTTCGAGGGAAATGAAAAATGTGACTCGTCACATTTGTAGGAATTATTTATTCAAACTTTTATGTGTCGATGATGCCACCAGTATTAATTCACTCATAAATACAAGTGTGAATTCAAGTTTTTCTTAGAAAAGGCAAAACCCATACACCAGTAAAGTCGACCAATCTAGGAAGAAAAGGTCATCCCTACAGAAATTAAAATTAACCACAGGATCAATCATGTCACCTTTCTCTTGCACTTGGAGATGGCTCGTCGTAAAGAAGCCCGATGCTAATTCTGGACCAATACATGAAGTTTGATGAAATCATTCGCCAATGGGAGGAGCTAGAGGACCAAGACGCGAAGCAACATCATTCACTCCGCCAGAAGACGCCTTCGAAGACCACCTACATAATTAACTATATCGACCACTCTAACAGAGCAACGGGTATATGATCACCTGTCCTCCTTGAAGGAAATATGCCCTAGAGGCAATAATAAAGTTGTTATTTATATTTTCTTATATCATGATAAATGTTTATTATTCATGCTAGAATTGTATTAACCGGAAACTTAGTACATGTGTGAATACATAGACAAATAGAGTGTCCCTAGTATGCCTTCACTTGACTAGCTCGTTAATCAAATATGGTTAAGTTTCCTAGCCATGGACATTTGTTGTCATTTGATGAACGGGATCACATCATTAGAGAATGATGTGATGGACAAAACCCATCCGTTAGCTTAGCATAATCATCGTTCAGTTTTATTGCTACTGCTTTCTTCATGACTTATACATGTTCCTATGACTATGAGATTATGCAATACCGGAGGAACACCTTGTGTGCTATCAAACGTCACAACGTAACTGGGTGATTATAAAGATGCTCTACAGGTGTCTCCGATGGTGTTTGTTGAGTTGACATAGATCGAGATTAGGATTTGTCACTCCGTCTATCGGAGAGGTATCTCTGGGCCCTCTCGGTAATGCACATCACTATGAGCCTTGCAAGCAATGTGACTAATGAGTTAGTTGCGGGATGATGCATTACGGAATGAGTAAAGAGACTTGCCGGTAACGAGATTGAACTGGTATTGAGATACCGACGATCGAATTTCGGGCAAGTAACAAACCGATGACAAAGGGAACAACATATGTTGTTATGCGGTTCGAACGATAAAGATCTTCATAGAATATGTGGGAGCCAATATGGGCATCCAGGTTCCGCTATTGGTTATTGACCAGAGAGATGTCTCGGTCATGTCTACATAGTTCTCGAACCCGTAGGGTCCGCACGCTTAACGTTTGTTGACGATATAGTATTATATGAGTTATGTATGTTGGTGACCGAATGTTGTTCGGAGTCCCGGATGAGATCACGGACATGACGAGGAACTCTGGAATAGTCCGGAGATAAAGATTGATATATGGGATAATAGTGTTTGGTCTTCAGAAGGGTTCCGGAATTCACCGGAAGGGGTCCCGGATGTTTCCCGAAATGTTTGGGTACGAGAACACTTTATTTGGGCCAAAGGGGAAAGCCCACAAGGTTTTTGGAAAGAGCAAAAGGAAGTTTTGCGGAGTCCAGGGGCCAGACGACAGGGTCCCTGGCGTTTGGGTCCAGACGTCGGGAACCCTGACGTCTGGTCCTTGAGTCCGAGAAGGACTCTTGCCTTTTGGGTGAAACCGACTTTGTGTAGGCTTTTACTCCAAGTTTCAACCCCAAGGCTCAACATATAAATAGAGGGTAGGTCTAGCAACCAAGACACATCAAGAAACACCAAGCCGTGTGCCGGCAACCCCGCCCCCTCTAGTTTATCCTTCGTCATAGTTTTCGTAGTGCTTAGGTGAAGCTCTGCGGAGATTGTTCTTCACCAACACTGTCATCACGTCGTCGTGCTGCCAGAACTCATCTACTACTTCGCCCCTCTTGCTGGATCAAGAAGGCGAGGACGTCATCGAGCTGAACGTGTGCTGAACACGGAGGTGCCGTACTTTCGGTACTTGATCGGGACGGATCGTGAAGGTGTACGACTACATCAACCGCGTTGATAAACGCTTCCGCTTTCGGTCTACGAGGGTACGTAGACACACTCTCCCCTCTTGTTGCTATGCAACACCTAGATGGATCTTGCGTGTGCGTAGGTAATTTTTTAAAATTACTGCGTTCCCCAATAGTGGTATCAGAGCCAGGTCTATGCGTAGATGTTATATGCACGAGTAGAACACAAAGGAGTTGTGGGAGTGGGTACATACATATTGCTTGCGGTCACTAGTTGTTTCTTGATTTAGCGGTATTGTTGGATGAAGCGGCCCAGACCGACATTACGCGTATGCTTACGCGAGACTAGTTCTACCGACGTGTTTCGCACACAGGTGGCTAGTGGGTGTCAGTTTATCCAACTTTAGTTGAATCGGATTCAATGAATAGGGTTTTTTCTGAAGATCAAAAAGCCATCACTATACCGCGTTGTGGTTTTCGATGCGTAGGTAAGAACGGTTCTTACTCAGCCCGTAGCAGCCATGTAAAATTTGCAACAACAAAGTAGAGGACGTCTAACTTGTTTTTGCAGGGCATGTTGTGATGTGATATGGTCAAGACGTGATGAGATATAAATTTTTGTATAAGATGATCATGTTTTGTTAAAGTTATCGGCAACTGTAAGGAGCCTTATGGTTGTCTCATTATTGCATAAGATGCAAGTGCCATGTAATTGCTTTACTTTATTGCTGTGCGATAGCAATAGTTGCAAAAGCAATAGTTGGCGAGACGACCATGTGACGACACATTGATAAAGATCAAGATGATGGAGATCATGGTGTCACGCCAGTGATGATGGAGATCATGATGGTACTTTGGAGATGGAGATAAAAGGCACAAGATGATGATGGCCATATCATGTCACATATTTTGATTACATGTGATTTTTATCTTTTATGCTTCTTATTTTGCTTAGTACGGCGGTAGCATTGTAAGATGATCTCTCACTAAATTTCAAGGTATAAGTGTTCTCCCTGAGTATGCACCGTTGCGACAGTTCGTCGTGCCGAGACACCATGTGATGATCGGGTGTCATAAGCTCTACGTTCACATACAACGGGTGCAAGCCCGTTTTGCACATGCAGAATACTCAGGGTTAAACTTGACGAGCCTAGCATATGAAGATATGGCCTCGGAACATTGAGACCGAAAGATCGAGCGTGAATCATATAGTAGATATGATCAACATAGTGATGTTCACCATTGAAAACTACTCCATCTCACGTGATGATCGGACATGGTTTAGTTGATATGGATCACGTGATCACTTAGATGATTAGAGAGATGTCTATCTAAGTGGGAGTTCTTAAGTAATATGATTAATTGAACTTAAATTTATCATGAACTTAGTCCTGATAGTATTTACATATCTATGTTGTAGATCAATTGCTCGCGTATAGTCTCCCCATTTTATTTATGATATGTTCCTAGAGAAAACTATGTTGAAAGATGTTAGTAGCAATGATGCGTACTAGCTCCGTGATATGAGGATTATCCTCATTGCTACACAGAAGTAATACGTCCTTGATGCACCGCTAGGTGACACACCTATTGCAGG